GCAGCGGGTGACAGCTCTGCAGGACGGGCGCTTTGCCGGGTGTGCAGCCTCTGCCTGCGCAGGCAGAGCCCACGTGCCCAGAGCCGGTGCTGGCGACGCCGGCCGAGCTTTGCCACGGCGCGTGCCCAGCGCCGCGTTTTAATCAGACTCCGGAGGTCCCCGAGGCAGTGGCGTGGCCATGGTGGTGCCTGCTTTGTACCTGACCTGCAGCCAGATGAAAGGTTTTGGTGCTGAGGGCAGCTGGGAGATCAAAATATTGGTCTACCCAAATATTTAGAGGACAGGAACCATTAACCATTGAGCAAACTCCTCGTCCTTAAAAATACCTAGTTTCACATACTACCGTAAATCAGTTTGCTTTGTGCTTGTCACAAAGAGCAGCAAGGTGAGGAATCTAAACCTAAAATTAACCTCATAAAGCTTATAAACATCAGTGACTTGACCGTAAGCCAGGGGTGGACAGACGTCTTTTCTGATTGTAATTATGTGGGCAATTACCTTAAAATATATCAGACAGTATAAATTATTGCCCAATAGCAATAAGATCATAAAAAACTCTAGAAGACAATTCCTTTTATCCTGAGACTCATGTTAATGTAAGAGCCCTTACGAGAAAAACCTGCTACATTATATAGTAAAAAGGAGAATTTTGTCCCCAGTATCACAGTGGAAGATTAAAAAATTTAACTGTAACAGAACAGAGCCTTGCGATTCCTAAACCTGAGGAAATAAACTGTAGACACAGAGCTGAGAAGCCAGACATCAGACAAGACAGTGAGAGAGGCAGCTAAGTAGCTGCATATTTACATACTGAATGTATTACCTTGATATTTTTCATATGTGACAACTCTTGGGCCATACTCTTCCCTGAGGATGGCTCTGAATACCACCAGGTTCTCAAGCTCCTTGGGAAGCCCATTCAGGCGTTGGTATTATTTATAAATAAACAGCCTTTTTCATAGTACATGTAATATACATAATTACATATCCTTAAATAAATGTATTTGTTACTATCATTATGTTAATGATATAGTGTACCATATAATAATGTACTAATATGTAACTAGTGTTATGTATATGTGTGTGTCTATATGTATACATACATATATATTTAAAATTAATAGGTAGAATAGAAGCAAAGAGAGCCCGTGTTGAGTTTTCTCAAGTGCCAGTGTGTGCCAACACCTTCTCAATGGCTTTTGAAGGCACCAGTGGCTCTCAGCCTCAGGACATTGCTGTTTGATGGCAAGGACCGTGCTGCAGGGATGCACCCCGGCTGGTGACATTTTTGTGCTTGTGATGGGATCTTGTTCCGTTCCACTGAGGTCGGTGGCATTTGCTATGCTCCTGCGCACACGTGCAGGCATTGGCAGGGCCGGGCTTGGGAACTGCTAGGGCTGTTTCGGATTGTGTAATGACGCAAAACAGCAACAACAAACTAATAAGAAAACAATCTGAAAAGCGTGTATTACTTTCATCCTCGGATTCTCTTCAGCATAATTCTGACAGTAATGTATTTCCTTACGGAGGTATTCAGCGCTATTTCCATACAGATGCAAATGGTTGTGTATTGTAACGCACGGGATGTCTCCCCGCCTTTTCACCACGTATAGCTTTTATGCAACGTGATGTACGGCACAGTATATTCCTGTTTCTTTCTGCCCCGCCAACTCCAGTCCCACAGCCCCCCCGGTGACGTACTCACTCGGTGACTCAAAGGATGGCACTCCTCTCCCAGATTTCCCATCGGCGTGCACACTCGCAGGCTGCGGATCCAGAGGCTAACGGCGCAGCACATCCCTCCTCCGCACTGCTGGTCTCGGTCGCAGGCCTGGAGTTCAACACAGCATTAGGCAAACAGAATGGATAATAAATATATTCCAGACGTAGGACAGTCCAGGTGCTCAAGAGCTGCCTCTGACACCCCACAAGTTATCATGGCTTATTAAAGCTGAATAACAAGCTTTAAGGCTGATCCGCAGTATTTCTATCTCCCGTGGACCTGAACATACAGGCTCCTGGCACGTTTCAGAGTTGAGCCCAAGATGTGTAAAGCCACAGCCACACACGGAGCGGCTCAGGACCAAAGCCAGGACTGTCAGTGATTTACAGGCCAACTTCCGAGCACTGATGGACCGTGGCACGTCCCACTCCGCTTTCCCAGATTGGAGCCTGAGTGAGCTCAGGCAGGTGTGAGGACCAAGTGCACCAAACAGGCAGGAAGCCTGTCTTATGGAGAAGCTAAAATAGGAAATTATGCATTAATTTAAAGACTTTTAAGTAACTATTCCTTCTAGTTTCTTATGATAATATCTTACCGTTGAGTGCCTTTGCAAATGGAAGACTGCATGATAGTTTTATTAGAGAAGTCCAAGTGGAAGTGGCTAAAATAGAAGTTTAAATATGGATTCTGTGGTTGTTATCTAGAATTACGTATAACTAAAAGAGGTCTTAAACATGTAATAGAAAAAGCTTTGCATACTTGTCCACATCCAAGAAACTGCTACTGTGGTATGATTCCCCCTGCAAGGCAGGGTGAAAATATTTCAGCCACTTACCCAATATAGGTTAGATAAACACAAAGAAAAATGCAAACTATTAGGTATGTTTTAAAAACCAGAAAGAGCAAATGATGTGTTAGGGTTTGGAAATAGGTTACTGCACATCTTTTGCCTATTTTTTAAACAAAAGCTTATCAGACTTTTTATTATATGAATTTAATGCAAAAACCAGTCTCTTTTCTCTGATGAGAAATGCCATTAGTAAAAGGTTCTGATGACACCCCAAAGGTAAGCTTAATTAACTCACTACTCTTTAGTGTCTTACAGCAGGAGTGATAGGCCAAAGGCACTGGTCAGCAGTGCATAAACAGGCAACTTGTAAAAACGTACATAAAGGTATCGGCTCTGGGGAGGACTGCGTATCGGAACAAACATTCGCTTGAGGAAAAAAGCTTCCAGATCTTACCTTAGGATTTACATGATAAATGCCATTAGACTGTACTCTACTGGGTAAATATTACACTAGTTCAACCAGCAGAAGCCAGATCAAAATACATATTTATGGATTAGCCAGTAATTTAGGAAAAAGCTGTTGCATTAGGGTCAAGCCATTAAATAGTGTCTGTAACTCAAACAGCTAGCACTCCTCCTAAACACGTTTAACGAAGCAGACAGCTCTATGCTACAGGTGAGCCCAAACACGCAGAGAATTTACTTATAAGACTAATATGGCCATAAACACAGCCTGCCAGGTAGATAATGTTTTCTTTCTAACTTCTCTCTTAAAAAAAAAGGAAAAAAAAAGCACTCTAATGATCTAATTTTGCCCTAGTCACAAAAAACCTGCAGGTCCAGTGATTTTGGCTGCCGCTGGCACACTGGCATACACTGCTCAGCTGGAGTCACAGGCTCTGCTATTCCTCACCAGCCAGCTCCTGATCCCCTTTTTTCCTCAGTTGTATCTCAGACCCCATCCATCTCCGTGGGACTTGTCCCGGAGTGAAGTTCCACTCGGCCACAAAACAGGTCCGAGTACGTCCTAGCCAGCGAGGGTATCTAAAACACGGTGCTGAACAATTTCTTCTCCAAACTCGCACACACATACATACGTCTGGTAGAACTTTTAAGGCTCCCTTTCCAAAAATGTATGACAAATTTTGAAAATATTCAACCCAAGTGCTCCTGCCCACACCTTATCTGCAACGTATAATTCATACTGCTACTCCTTAATCTTCACAGGACACAACATGAAGGACATTCCTCTTCAGCACCCCATTTAAACACAGTTTTGTGGAAAATTCAGCTCGAGGAGAAAGTCCCAGGTGAAATGCCAGCTCCGAAGTCAGCAGTCGTGTGAAGTCAGCACACAAACCACCACTGAAGCGAGGAAGGTTTGAATCAAGTCCTTAAACTGCAAAGGAAAAGCACCCTTCAGGCTCAGAGGATGCGGATGGGAACACCTACATCAGCTCTCGTCTGCGATTTGCCCGTTCATCAGATGCCAAAAACGCATCAAGGTGGTTTAAGCAAAAATGCACTGCCATAGTTAATAAAGTAACATTTTCTAGTTCTAATCTATTTTTACTGTTTTGAATCTGCTTTGACCTTGATTTATTATTCGGTGCTTCACAACTACATTATTTAATGGATTAATTATGCTTTAAAGGTGTAGCCACAACTCTGATAACAGACTTATACAATCTGGTCCTCCGTTGATGGAAATATTTCTACTTCAAAGGAACTTGAAATTCTCAAATATTAAAAAATTCCTTCACACTCCCTGCTTTGAAAATTAATCAGTCCTGGGAACTGATCTGACCTCCAGAGAAATGCCTACGAGCCGTGTCATGGACTTCAGTGAAGTCCAGACAGCGAGCCTGGACAGCCACGGAGCAATCCGCTGCTGCAAGTGCAATTTCTGATGGTTACAAAAGACATGTAAGCTCTCGAAGGAATGCAAGCGCTGGGTTATTAATCCAAAGCAAACACTAAAAAAAGTCATTTTACTTAAGAGTGATGCAACGCTTTGGGTTAAATAACGTCTCTGGAAAAAAAATATTTTCACAACCAAAGTAAATCTCAAGCCTAAAACCAACAACAACAACAACAGAGGACTCCTTTGCAATGGGTGGCTGTTGAGGAAAAAAAAGCAGCACAGTCATACTCAAAAAAAAAACCCAAACCAAAAAAAAAAAACCCCCAAAAGCGTCGTTTTGTGATGACTGCAATACTGGTGCCTGCCCTGGACACGGTACAACTGGAGGAGCTGGAGGAACCCGGGGTGCACAAGCAGGAGGTGCAATGCCCTGAGCTGGGCCCTCCTGGGGCAGGTTGGGGGCAGCCGGGGCTGGGGGCTGCATGGCAGGGGGACAGCCTCCAGCCCTGGAGAAGCAGCAGGAGCCTCTGCACACTCACGGACCAGCCTGGAGACACCGCCCCACACTGAGTCCAGGCATCCCTCACCCCAGAGGGACAGACCCCAAACCGTGGCATCCCTCAGCCCGGAGACCCACAAGTCCTGGTTTCACTCACCCTAGAGAGACCCCCCATAACCTGACATCACTCACTTTAGACAGACCCCCAATATTCTGGCATCACTCACCTAGAGAGACCCCCCCATAACCTGACATCACTCACTTTAGACAGACCCCCAATATTCTGGCATCACTCACCTAGAGAGACCCTCAAGCTCTCGTATCACTTAGTCCAGAGAGACCCTCAGCTCAGGGCATCCTCCACCCCAGAGAGACCCCCAC